AGCTCCTCACCTGAAGACACAGCTCCCATCACAATAAATATCTCTTCTGAGTTGAGTAGTTCTTGTTTTGCTAAAAGCACACGGACATTAGGAAGGACATTATGCATTCAGAGCTTAAATCTTGTTCTTACTGTGCATGAGAGGAAGCTGAGGATAGGTTGGCCTCCACATAGACATTTATGGGAATTATTGATGGTGGATTTTATGACTTCCAGAGCAGTAGCATCTTATTACTGTGGCAGCACAGCTATAGGTAGTGGCACAGTCTTCTTCTTCTTCTTTTTCTTTTTTGGTCTTTTTGAGACAGGGTTCTCCCTGTAGCCCCAACTGGCCTGGAACTCACTATGTAGACCAGGCTGGCCTTGAACTCACAGATACCACCTGCCTCTGCCTCCTGAGTGCTGGGACTAAAGGCGTGCACCACCATGCCCAGCTGGCACATTATTCTTAAACATAACACATTTTATGTCATAGATTTTTAAATACTACTGAATTTTTATCAGTATTTTACAATTAAATTTCATATTACTAAAATTTTCATTTTACTGCATGTATACCATTTGTGTTACTTTCATTTCCTTAGAGCTTAAATTATTTTGTTTGCTCTCAACTTAGGAAGGATTTAGCATTGTAGGTGATTGTTCCGGGGCTCTGAGCACAAAGACAGAGCTGGCATTTCTCGGCGCTCTCGCCTTCCTTTTGTCTTGAATAGACAACACTAGAAATTCACACGTCCTGCAAACAGTCAGTCATGCCAAAGCAGTGGACTACCCCACAGGTAAAAGTTAAAGCAGAAAAGTAAGGGCATTGCAAACTGCTCAATACCCTGAGATGGTTGTAACCACTAGAAAAAGCTATGATTATGGCTTTAACAAATGACTTTAGTAGGATAATAGTTTTAAATACAAATGCATATGTAAGATTTCAAAGAAAAATAATTGTGGCCATTATTTATATATTGATAATCATTTGCACCTAAACTATTATACTGACGAGTTTGTCCCATTATCTTTCTTATAGCATGGAGAAATTCTAGGTTTATTAGATGAAGTAAATTAAAATGAAGTGGTCTTTCTTTTTTGTCTGTTGCTGTTTATGATGTTGCTGTTTATGTCCTTATCAGACTAGATGTATTACCAGAACCCACTTCTCATGAGCCAGAGCAGGTAAGCCAATAGCGTTCTGACATGGTGATGGATCTGCCTCAAATGTTCCAAAGATAATCTGAATATTTCTATTGAATTACAAAGGAAAGCTCAGCAAATGGTGCTTAACTATTATGTATAACTTGGGAGAGACTAGAGAAATTGGAGCTAGTTCAAAATGTTGAATTCCAGATCTTCAGACTGGTAAGAGAATCACACGCCAAATGGTTCTATGAACGTGGATATGGGGTCTTCTGTTGCCTGTGCTTTCAGACTGAGTCAACATTGTCCCAAACCTTCCTAACAGTGTCTATAGAGAATTAGTAAAGGCCACTTTGGTGATGTTTAAAATCATTATGTTAATAAGGCTCATTAAATGTCCTTGCTTTGTACCTCATTAAAGGTGTATGTTATATTTTACTATTTTACATAGTCATAAAACATCAATTTGGAGAAGATGGAGCTTTAAAAAAAAAGCAGTGTTTGATGAGTTATTTACTATATTTAGTGCCCTCACAAGATAAATTTCTCTGTCAGTCAGAGAAAATTGGCTGATTCCAAAAAGCCTAGAGAAGTAATAAATCTTAGTCTTTTAATGAAGTTAGAATTTCATGTTCCTGAAATTCTCATAATAAAAAAAGTGCCTTATAGCCCCTGCAGCCCCATGTATTCTGATCCCTTGGAGGCCCCATCTGCTGCTCCATTGACCAAAAGAAATGCTTCTCGATAAAGTACTTTCTTGAGCACTTAACAGAATGTAATTGTTAAAATCTACACAGAAACTTTCTGTTAATTATACAGAATATTTTAAAAATTTACTATGTGATCTAAGCCAGCAGTCAGTTACCTGGTAAAAAAGAGTTATTTTGTATGTGTTCTTTTTTACAAGTTTGTTTTTTGTTTTTTGTTTTTTTTCTTTTGTTGCTAGGGATCAAACCCAAAGCCTGTGCCTGAGAGGCAAGCACGCCATCGCTGAGCTGTGTCTCCACCTTGCTCCTTTTTTTTTTTTTTTTTTTTTTTCAGTTTTCAAAGTTTTATTTCTGACTCAAACTTTCAGGGCTTTCAGAGATCAGCAGACCCAAAGCTTTGGCTCTTAGATGGGGAAGCTAGTTACCAACAGTGGGAACACATGGTTAGCAAGCTGATCATAGGAAGCAAAAATCAAAAGAAAAAGAGGAAGAATTCAAGCTCTGATAATTCCCCTCTACAGTACATCTCCATTGACTAGGCCCTATTTCCTAGACTGCTACTTTTCACCCTGGTGACCAACAAGCCTTTAATACAGGAGACTTCGGGGGGAAACCCACACCCAAACTACTGCAGCAGTGGACTATACTGACTGTACTAGACAGCTTTAATGTCAACTTGACACACCTGGGTTGAGGGAGCCTCAACTGGTAAATTTCCTCCATTAGACTGGCCTGTGGCCATGTCTACAGAGCATCTTCTTGATTATTGAGTGATGTGGAAGGGAAAGTCAGCAAGCAGCGTTCCTCCATGGCCTGTGCTCCAGCTCCTGGCTCCAGGTTCCTGCCCTGAGTTCCTACCTTGGGTTCCCTGATAAGTTGTGACCTGGGAGATGTAAGACAAACCCTTTCCTCCCCAAGTTGGTAGTGGTTTGAGTGTTTTGTCACAGCAGTGGAGAAACAAACTAGAACACTGACTTTAAATTTGAAAATCAAGGGTTTTTGGTGGTGTGGCTAGTTAAGGAGCACTCTGATGTTTATCCCAGTGCCACTTTCTTGAGTGAGGACTCTTTAACTAAAGTAAGATATATCTCCCCATTCTCTCCCTCCTGTAGCCAAAGACTTTTTAACATGTTTCATTTTCACTTAGAGAACTCAAGCCTGGGTAGCAATGGCTTTTGTTTCCATGATGGTTTACTTGCTGAATGCTTTCCTTGTGCCAGTGCTGTAGTGAGTACTGTCACCAGATTACTGCCTCTGCTGTAGTGAACCCAGAGGCGCTTGTTCTGTCCTGCACCACGGCCCGTTGTCCTTGTCGCCTTCTTAGGTGACCAGGTTCACCGGCTTCTGGTGTGCTTATATCCAAGTGTGTGTGTTTTGCGTTGTCTCTTATTTTCATAGATGGTGATATGCTGTGTATCAATGGCTCTCGTGTGGAAGCAATCTTGCCCCTTAGGGGCTGTCTGTAGGCTGTTTGGGCATCCATTGGAGGAGGTGCTACTGACATCTAGTGGACAGAGATCAGGTATATGGCCAGCCTTCCCACAGCAGGTCCGGCCCTGGCAGTGAATAGTTGCCTGGTATCAGTGTGCCAGTGCTGCTGTTGAGAGACCCTGTGGCATGTCCATGTTTACCTTTTCCTTTTCAACTTGGCAATTTACTTCACAAATATCCTTCTTGTCCTCTTTAATGCCTGCATAGTAGGCTTATTATACTTTATTCAAGCAATTTTCTTTGTGTGGTCTTTTCATTTGTTCTTAGGCATTTTGACACTGCAAATAATACTGTAATGGAGAACCTTGCACACATTTTTTTTCTGGTATTTTTAGAAGTATATCCTTAGACAAAATTCCCCAAAGTGGGTCAAAGAGCAAGTGATATGTCAGTTTTCCAGGTTTCCTCCAAGGAAGTTAGACTTTCACTGTGGGGACCTAAAGGCCCCACCTTGCAGAGGTCCAAGAGGAAGTTACTGGGGCACGGCCTGATTTGCTTTGAAAGTCTGAAGGATACTTACCCACTGCTGAGGAGTGCATGATCAGCACGTGACCATCCTTAAGATACACCCTCAGGGGGGAGGGGGATTTCCAGATGCCTTTATAAGCTCTGTAACACCTGCAATAAATGAGTCCCTGCTGGACTAGGCTCCCCGTTGCGCCTGAGTGTTCCCCGGTACTGGGGGTGGCATGGGCTGGCAAATGGCACGCTTACTCATCCCCAATCATCACTGCACGGGGGTCACTGGTTCGAACCCCCAGCATTTCACAACTGTATGACAACATCTATTTTTTCCATAAGCCTGTTAGTTATCAAGCTGTTGTGTTATTACTAATCTGATAAAGAAGAAACTTGATGTCATTTTACTTTATATTTTCTTGTTAAGAATGTCATGTCGGGGCTGGAGAGATGGCTCAGAGGTTAAGAACACTGGTCTTGCAGAAGACCCAGGTTTGAATCCCAGCACCCACATGACTAATAACTGTCCGTAACTCCAGTTCCAGGGGATCCACCAGTCTCTTCTGTTCTCTGCAGGTACTGCACGACACAGGTGTACTTACCCCCATGCAGGCAATACACGAGTACACATAAAATAAAAATAAAATTAAAAAAAGAATGTCATTTCTTTTAATCTGTTTATATGGCTGTCAAATTTATGTTCAGCCCAAATAACCTTAGATGTATAGAAATGATCTTTTAAAAAATTGTTATTTTTATGTGTATAAGTGTATTGCCTGCATATGTGTATGTGCACCTATATGGTTCAATGTCCAGGAAGGTTAGAAGAGGGCTTCAGACCCCCTGGAACTGGAGTTACAGGCAGTTGTTAGCTACCATGTGGGTGCTAAGAGCAGTACCAGGTCCTCTGCAAGAGCAGTCGGTGCTCTTAATTGCTGAGCCGTCTCTCCAGCCCCTATAGAAAATATCTTTATCAAATACCATGAAAGAAAATAAAAATTTCTGCTGAAAACTTCAAATGATTTATTCTAAAAGCTTGTCTGGGTCTATATCTCAATATTTATTCCTGTAAACCAGGTATTACTTTGAAGTTTCTGAAAGAAACATAATTCTGTAAAGTGAGTGTTTAAAGTCTGCTGTTTTCCAGCCACTATGATTGTCACCCAAGTAATCTACCATGACTGCACTAGGATTCTTGTGTGCTTGTGTTTTACAGGCCCTATATGTCTCTCGGAAGTCTTCGGGATCAAGTCATTTATCCTGACTCAGTGGATGACATGCATGATAAAGGTTATACAGACCAAGACCTAGAGTGCATTCTGCACAGTGTCCACCTCTACCACATAGTCCAAAGGGAAGGAGGTAGACTGTCGTTCTTTTAAATGGTATCATTCTTTTAACTTCAGAAAGGGAACTTGGGCTTGGTGTGATGGTACATAGCTATAATTCAAGAACTTGGGAGGCGGAGGCAGGAAGATCAGGAGCACTTCAGCTACTTGCAACTTTGAGACTAGCCTGGGTTACATGAGACTCTGAGTTGAAAAAAATCAAATTAATGGAGTAAATGTATAAACCTGGGTTTATGGCATTAGCTACTTTTTCATCATGGTGATCAAATACCTAACTGAAAAATCTTAAGGGAGGAATTCTTTGTTTGGCTCCTGGTTTCAGAGGTTTTGTTTGTCATGGGGGTGGGTGATGTGGTAGAGCAGCGTAGTTCTCATCATGGTGGGCCTGGAAGCAGGGCGGGGGTAGTCACTTGGCTGAGTGCTCCTTTTTCCCTTTTATCCTTGAGACTCAGTCCCTGGGCACCCCCAACCACACTGAGGGTGTCTTCTCCCTCAGTTAATCCTCTCTGTAAAGATGCTCACCGATACACTCTGGTGTGCTCTATGAAGAGTTGATTCTAAATCTAGTTGACAATAAAGATGACCTATTGAGGTGTTTCTGCAGCTTGTAGTTTCATTTGAGCATGTGCTGTTCTTAGGCCGTATGCCCGTAAGTGCACAGAGGCTTTTTCCTCCTTCCATATTGCTATCCCCTTTTCTTGTTTGAAGTTTGTTTACTAGAGCAGACCAAGCTTTCCCAAGTCACATACCACTACAGCTACCATTAAAACCCTGATGTTCAAATGTTCATGTATCCCTGAGGCCACTGTCATTCTAGATGTATGTGGGGTTTGTGACAGAAATATTCACCTAACAAGCTTTCAGCATACAGTAAATGTAATAATTCAAAAAGTGTGTATCACGCTTTTTTTGTCTTCAATCCCACAGTCTTTGTAATACATTTTTCTTGTAGTTGCTGTTGTCCAGATAGCACACGAGAGTTAGGTAACACACAGAGACTGCTTCGTTGTGTAGTTTTCAGAACAAGAGTATTTGAAACAGTGGGGATACGTACGCGTGTAAGCTTAAAAAACAACTAAGTTGCACTTTCAAATTGATTTGATAACTCAAATAATTTCATAGGCCAGGGAAATTACCTAAAGAACAAGCCAAAGTTCCATGCTGAATTTTGCATGCATGTATTTTATGCTCTGTTTTACAGCCCAGTGACCTTATTAGGGGAACAGCGTAGTACAAGACTGAGACTGTGGGCTTTGGACTCAGTTAAAGAACCAACTCCTAGTTAACAGAGCTCTCTGTGTTCCATGGTTACATGGGGCTGCACACTTTTTCCACAAGGTTTCTGTGAGTAGTAAATAGGACTACTTACTGTGGTGGTATAGAAATAACATGTAAGAGTGAATAAGATAGTCAACAAGAGAGAAGTAAGAGTGGTGATATTAAGGGTTGTAATAGTGCTGCTAATGGTATTTGTGTTTATGTGGTATTTTAAATTTACTTAGTAATTTTACATATATTTGACCCTTATAATAAGTAAATGAAGCAAGCAAAAGAAATATTACTGTATTTATTCTTATGATGTTCACTCTCTGAGGAAAGCAGATTTCCTTTTTGTTTCACATGGTCAGTCTCTTCCCAATTTCAAAATGTTTTGACAGTATAAATTCTACATGTTATGATCAAAGACATAATAAGTTTGGGATGCAGTGCTCCAAATAGAAATTTAGCATAAACATGAAATACTCTGTTACTTTAGAAATTATGAAGGTCTAGAACATTTTTAAGAATGTTCCAAGCCTACAGCCTTAACTCCCATGCCTTAGACATGCAGTGGATTTTGTTTCTTCCCCATAAATGAAAAAGAAGAATGTGTGGACCTTAGTAATTGTAGAATACACTATGTTCATAGCAATTTATATATCATTTTGTTTAATGTTCATGAAAGTCTATTGATATGGGCTTTACAGATTAAATTCGGGGTAGTTACAAAAGTCCCCTAACAACTGATGGAACAGGAATTCAACCATATTTTGACTTGAAAGAGTATTCAGTGGTAGGCAGGCTAAAGTGCTACCTCCTCACTCTTTAGACATGAGTATTATATACTTTCAGATAAACACATTTCTGGAGAAATTAATTTTACTTACTCTCTAAATATGAAACTTTAAAATATTTTTATTGCTTTTGTGCATTTCATGTAATAGATCTTAATCAAATTTAGACCCCCCCATCCATGCCCCTCCATAGCCCCCCCCAAACAGATTTCATGTATTTTGCTGTAGATGTTAGTCCGATCTGGTCAAGCATTTGTACTCAGATGTCCCTCGGTGTAAGTTCATCCGCTGCGGTCCAGTCAGCCTATCTAGAGTCACTCCCTTAAAGAAGATCTATTTTCCCTCATCCAGCAGTAATCAGTTGCCAAGAGTTCTTGGCTAGGGTTTGGGCCTGCTGCCCATTTCCCTCTTTCTATACTGGATTTTCGTCTGATTGAATCAGCATGGCTCTTGTGCATGCTGTCAACACTGTGGAAAGTTCATATGAGCAAGTTCCCAGGGGCCTGAAAACCTGTTTCCTAATGTTCATGCACCAAGTCCACCTCTTGCAATCTTTTCACCCCCTCTCTGTCCCTGAGTCAGGGGTGGGTGAGGTTTAACATAGGAGTCCTTTCCAGGGACACACACTCTACAGTCTCTTATTCCCTGAAACTTAGCCAGTTGTGGCTTTCTACGTGCATTGTACTCAGTTGTATGAGGAAGCTCTGCTGGTAAGAGGTGAGGAAGGAGGAGTAGGATGGAGGAGGTGAAAGACAAGGGTCCGATTCCGTTCTTCTCCAGGTGGAGACCCAGTTCTGCCAGCACCACTTGTTGAACACGCCGTCTTTCCTCCAGTGTGTGTTCTTGACACCTTTGTCAATTATCACGTGGCTGAAATTGCATACACTTATGTTTGGGTCTTCTATTGTGTACCATTGATGGTGATGGTGATGGAGGAGGAGGAGGAGGAGGGGAGGAGGAGGAAGAGGAGCAGGAGGAGGAGGAAGAATGGATGAGGAGATCCATTTTTATTTTTTAAGAATTTTCCACACTGCTTTCCATAGTGGTTGCACAAGTTTGCAGTCCCACCAGCAGTGAATGAGTGTTCCCCTTTCTCTACATCCTCTCCACCATTTGGAGTCTTTCGTTCTCTTGATCTTAGCCAGTCTGACTGGGGTAAGATGAAGTCGTAAAGTGGTTTTCAATCTGCATTTCTCTAATTACTAAGGATGTTGAACACCTTTTAAGATGTTTCTTAGCCCTTTTTATATCTTCATTTGAGAGCTCTCTGTCTCTCTCTCTTTTGGCTTCACTGGTTTTATTTATTTTTTTCAAGTTTTAC